GGCTCAGCCGCCGTGGGGGTCTGTGGCAGTGCCCTCTGATGTTACTGTTCTGACTGCTGGGCTCAGCTGCCGTGGGGATCTGTGGCAGTGCCCTCTGATGTTACTGTTCTGACTGCCGGGCTCAGCCGCCGTGGGGATCTGTGGCAGTGCCCTCTGATGTTACTGTTCTGACTGCTGGAGCGCCACAAGCTGCATCCACCAAGACCTGAACGTAATAAACGTGTGCCCTGACCACGCCATGACCCACCAGCCGCCCCGCCTCTCTCCCTGTCTGGCACACACTAGTGAGTTGGGCCAGTCCAGACCCCTACAATGGACCCCTACTTAAACACTACAGGTGGTGAGGCAGAGCGAGGCGGGTGTGGGGAGGGACGGGACAGCTGACTCGGAAGCCTCAGGCAGCCGCCAGCCCGGGGGTCTCAAGAGGAAGTCCCTGGAGGTATGAGGGGATGCCCTGCTGAGCCCAGGGAGGACGGGCACGAGCAGCCTCGGTGCTAGTGTGCAGGAGACCACGGCACCACCACACTCCAGGAAAGCAGATGGCGTCGTGGGAGGCCACAGCACAGACAACACCGTCCGGGAAAGGAGGTGGTGGGAGCTGCGCTGATTTCAGGGGCAGCGCGTGGACTCCCCTGGCCACGCTGCCCTCGCACGTGGCACGGTGAGGCTGGTTGAAGAGGACAGCCCCCGACCGCGCCCTCCTCCCTCAGCAGCGCGTGTGGCACATCCTGCAGGGGTGCTGGCAGCGCCCCAGGTCGGCAGCGCCCCGCAGGAGAGCTGCCCGAGTCACGCAGGCTGCCAGCTGGATGGTAACACAGTGTCGTGGCTAGCAGTCACATCGGACTCCACCCACGCCACGCGCCTAGCTTCAGACACCTCAGGCCCCACCAACAGGTCTGGAGGTGCCACCAGCAACCGTGGCTGGGTGTGGACTTGACGCTTGGGGTACAGAGCAGTGTGCTTTGCTGGGCTGGCCCTGCCATGAATCCAGGGATGGCAGTGAAGGTGGCATCGTCTGGTGAATCTATTCCTGGCTTTCCACACCAGCCCAGCCCCTGGGCACAGAGGAGCTTAGGAGCTTACAGTTCCCGTGATTTTGGACCACCTTTGTGGTTGCCCGTGACCCTGTCCTGCCATCCCTGTGAAAGCACCGAGAGCACAGCCAGGGGACAGGCGTCCGCCTCCAGATGCCTCACCTGCAGCAGGAGGATGAACTGCGGGAACCGCTGAATGGGCTTCATCATCAGGCTGTAGAGCGTGACGCGGTCAGGACTCGCCTCCTGGCTCTGCTGTGGGAAAGGCGGCTTACCTCACGTGGGCAGGCACAGCCCCGGCCACTGCCCAACGCCCAGACCCACAGCTGTCCCCACTCGGGAAGAAGCAGCACCACCAGGTGAGGGGAGATGCTTCCTCCAGCTGGGGAGAGCCCACTAGCACAGCCTACCCTGTGGAGGGGTCGCAGCTTGTTACTGAGGAGCTCCCGATGTCTACCCTGTGTACTCGCTCTGAACAGGGGCTGTCTGGGGTTCTGGGGCAGTCCTGACCCTGGGTGGCACAGCCACACCCAGACCCTCAGCCGCTGGCACCAGGCTGTGGTGGGCACCACACCGCAGCTGCCATCCTCAGCAAGGTCCTGGCCACCCTCTGAGGAAGCGAATTCACCACCTGGCCGTGCTTGCTGGTGACGGCTGAAGGGCAGAGGACCACTTCTGCCAGGCCGGGCTGGGGCTTAACCTCGGTGGGCCAGGGACAGCGGGGACCACGGTGTTGGTAAGTAAGGGGAGGGAGGATATGCTGGCCGAAGCACAACACAGCTGCCGGCCGGCACCCAGGCCCTGTGACCCTCACCCCAGGCAGCAGAGGTTTCCAAGAGCACAGCCCAGCCAGTAGAACACACTCTGTCCAGGGTTTTAGAGTAGGTGGCCAGTCTCTGCAAGGGGGTCTAACCTGGCCCAAGTCAGCAGCGCCTCCCGTGCCTCCCATGCTGCTGCCACGCCACGAGGGCTCCGGCTCTCCCCAGGACTCCCAGAGGGACAGAGGCCCACCACGGGGCTCCTACTCAAGGGCCGAGGCCATCGCTCCAGTGCTCTGCTTGCTGCTCTGACCGAGGGGGCCACTTTCCAACCCAAAACCTAGATGTGGGGCTTCCTGTACTTTCAAATGATGCCAGGACAGGCAGGCCCAAGGTGACCCTGGGGGTGGACCCTCTCCTTCTCTCTGCCCAGCGCCCCCACACACTTGTAAGGATGCGCAAAGAAAAGTTACTCTCAAAACCTTCATTAGGGCTTAAAATTCATCTGCATCCCCAGCTGACACCAGCGTGAGGGCTCCGGTCATCCCTCGTACCAAGACTGTGCTGAAGAACGTCTCCAGGTGCTCCGAGGCGCGGGTTGGCAAGGTCTCCCTGTGAGGTGTGTTGACCTGGAGCTCACTACAAGAGGGTGTGAAAGGCCAACCAGCAGCTGTGCTTACCTTTAAAAACTCGAGAAAAGCGGGCTTTGTGGCACACGTTTTCTTGAGGACAGCCACGGCAGTGCTGAAGTTGTTCACATACTCGCTGTACGCATCCAGCACCATGGACTTGGAAAACTGAATAGAGAACAGAGAGGGAAGTGACCCAGAATCCAAGCACCCCTCCAAGCTGACTCTGAGGGTCTGAGACCTGCCCCAGGGGACTTCTCAGTCCCAGGCCCTCTCTCAGGGGCAGCTCCCGCGGCTGCGGGTGGCTCCTGCCCCCTGCAAGCCTGCTGGGAAGCTGTCGTGGCCAGTGTGATGTGGCTGCCACTGACGCGTCCTGCCTTCACCCACACAGCGATCTTTTAAAAATGATTTTTTTCTGTTCTAAAACATGTTTCCAGCCAAGCGTGGTAGTGCATGCCTGTGATCCCTGCACTCTTCAAGCCAGAGGACTGCAAGTTTAAGCCCACCCTGGGCAACTTGATAAGACCCTATCTCAGCATTAAAAAAGGGGATTGCAGATGCAGCTCACTCAGTGCAAAGGCCCTGGGTTCAATCCCAAGTATCATGTATGCACATAAAGGTTTCCAAGGTAAAATTGAAGTTAATATACAGCATAGGCAGGAAATATAAAAGGCGAATAAAAAAATAGCATTTCCTTTTTTGTTTGTCACATATCCATGAAGGGTATTATGCAAATATCTTAGTAGTAAAGATCTTGTTAGCTACAAATTAATCTGCAAATGTATACCCTTCATCAAGCACACAAATTACATAAAACAAAGGTTTCCTTTTTCATTACCATAGCATTCATTTAAGTATATGAACACTTTAAAAAATCCAAGCTAATACCCCTTGATGGCGTTCTGCTAAGCAATTATAGACACCAATCTGTGTGAGCTTTAACCTCCTACATCCTGGCAGAAATCCAACCCATATGCAGCACGGACGGTTCACCGGGAGCAGAGACAAAATGACTCAGAATTGCTGACACAGAGATTTGGTGCAGCGGTTTCCTGGCAGCTGCTTCTCGTGCCAGGAAGCACTGAGGCAAGCTGTCCCAACACTGGATCCCTGCGCTGCCACGCAGCAAGGAGGGAAATGTCCAAGTGTTCCCCACCCTTTTCTATGGTTCCTGCGCATGCAGAACTCTGCACACAGAAAGTGAGATTAAGCCAGGAAGCCAGGCCTAGTTTAAGGGGCTGTGTGATGATTTCACAAACCCTGAGCAAGCAGGACCCTTGTTTGGTAAGCAAAGCATTACCAGGTTGTCTAGCATTGCGTCCAGGACTCCACAAAGTGTGCACGTGCAGATCTTTCCTGACACACCCTTGTCCCTCTGCATTCTTTACTCAGCCTCCTGGCAAGTGGCCCTGATCACCCCCTTGAAGGCTGGCTGGTGCCCCAGGGAGGCCACACGGGGCCACACAGCACCACTAAACATCAGCTGGGAGGAAAACGAGACCCACACCCACCCACACCCAGAGCCCAGGGACCCCTGGGTGGGGAGCTGAGTTACCGAAGCCACGAAGACATCACCAATGGTTTCCACAGCGTCCCACTCGGCCACACGGCTGGCTAGCGCGATCTGGAACAGGCAGTGGCACTGTGCGATCTCCTTGACGCGGTAGAACACCATCTTCAGCTTCCTCTCGCTCAGGACGCGGGGCTCCAGCTCAGACAAAGGCTTCTCATATTGCTGGCCAGACGTGGCAGAGGGAGGGAAAGGACCATGTAAGGGTCCGTTTCGGTATGTGAGATTTACTTCCAAACAAAGCACATGGCTCTTGATGCCAATACATAGACAAAATTCTTCAAATTTGCGTATTTTATGTTCATAAATATATGTGCATATACAATGTAAGACCTATCTCAAAATTATATATGTGCAAGAACAGTAACAAACATGTAGCTATCACATAATGTGACACGTAGGTACCTCCAAAATCCTCTTAAGAGCATCTACATAGTTTTTTTCACTTTCAACAATGGAGCCCAGAATATATCTTCTTACAACCTGTTGGAAATTTCAAGATACCATGTTAGAAAACTGGTTTAGAATACATACAGATAAATTTTACTTCTATGTTGAGGCTTGTTGATAAAAAGTTTTCCTTTAAATAGTAGGTAAAAGAAACCTATAAAGGCCTTTAAAATATTTTAAATGATGTATTTAAGTAGCCTTACAGGTACAAAATATACCTTCCCTGTTAGCACAATTATCTTTTAAACCTCAAATTATAAACTATAACTAAAGCAGGAAAAAAACCATAGCATTAAAAACAAATTCACTCATGCAGCAATAATGAACTGAATTAACCACCTGAATTTCATGCTCCCGACACTAAGTTACATGGCGCACATGTGTGTTAGTATAAAGAAGTCCCAGTCCTGTTCAGAGACCATTATCAGTCCTTATCGACATCACTCCACAATTACAGAAAAGCAGGAAGCTTGTGGAAGGTGGAGGAATAGATTTTATTTTTTGTTTGCAAAGAGCCAACCATGAGGCTAAGAACGTAGGCAGCTGTCATTTAGAGATGCAAAACACCTCTGCACGTCTGCATTTCAAAGACTCACGCTGCTTTCTGTTTCTTTTCATTACCTGTGTATGTGAAAATGGACCCATGGCGCGCGCTCGCTCTCTCCCCTCTTCTCTCCCCCATCTCTCTCTCTCTCTCTCTCTCTCTCTCTCTCTCTCACACACACACACACACACACACACACACACGCACACACAGAGCTCTTCTATGCACTCTCCTGCTCACACCACTGAAGACACTGCAGTGCCGCCTAGTGGGCTAAGCAAGCATTTTCCACAGATGAAATTCCCCCAATTAAGCAGACCAGGGTAACCAAGATTCACATGGAAATTATTATTCTCTTCCTAACAACCACAAACCCAAGGTCACAGAGGACAATTGAATGAAAACTTTTTCTGTGAAGAAAAGCCAAATGGATAAAACAGAAGGAAGGTAACTGGTTTGAAGGTATGAGGTCAGCTGGAGAAGCCAGGACAGGAAAAGGGAGCAGCAGCGTCACTGTGTCTGAGCCAGAGGAGGCTCTAGAAGGTTCCATGGTCACCCTGCTTGGTGATGCCAAATGGGGCCCAGCGGGTGACAGTCAGGATCCTGCGTCCTCAGGAAGCACAGCAGTTTTCAAGTAAACAACAACTTAAGAAATAAACTGGGCTTTCCTTCCTCATCCCAAAACAGGGCATGAAAACAACATTCAAATGCAGTCTTAAATTATGTTGCCTTCTTTCCAATTTAGAAGGGAAAAAAGATTTCAAAAGCATTAACACTCCCATTTTAACCTGTAAAGACAAAACACCCGTGGAGAACAGCAAAAAATAATCGATGTGAATCATGACTGTAAGAGAGCAAGCTGAATGAAAAAATACAGAAATCCTAAATACTGATAAATTTTTTAACTCATCACTTTAGGGTTGACAGTGCTAAGACAAAAAACACTTCAAAGCCCTTTATATACAGTATTTCCCCAGACTCTCAATATAAGAGAACAAGTAAAAAACCCTAAGTTGTTAACATTTCCATTTTATACAGGGGAAAATGGGAATTAATCATATTAAGTAATTAACTTGACCATTTGACCAACTTAATCCCAGTGAAAGCCCGGTGGGACAGACCAGGTCTGTAGGACTCCTTGCTGGAGAGTAATGTCCACATCACAACCTGAAAAACCAAAGAAATACCGCGGACTCACCATATCACAAAGCCAGTAAGACAGCCACAGCAGGCTGGAGGCACTGTACGTGTGTCAGGCTCAACAGATCCTTCATTATTCCTGCAATAGATACCTACACTTGCTACAGACTGTCTCCTGCACGACACAACACTCTGCTGTCTCCTCACAGACTCTGCACCCTATCCGCTGTGTCCTCACAGAGCCTCTACCTCCTTCACACTCCTTCATGTATCCCTCAGGCCTCCTCAGTCTCCTCACACACACTGTACCTCATTCAATACCTTTGCACATGCACATTTCTACTCAATCTCTTTACACACCTCACACTGCTACACACTGGGTCCTCACTACCCCACACCCATCCTGGTTCTTCATATACGTCATACCCATACTCACTGGGTCCTCACACATCCTACACCCATACTCAGTGTCCTCGCACACCTCACACCCATACCGTCTCTTCACACACACGATACCCACACTGTGTCTCACACACCCACACCCCTACTTGTAACCTCTTCATACATCGCATACTGCTACTCACTGGGTCCTCACATACCCACAGCCCACAGCCTCACAGCTCACACTCATATTAACTTGGGCCTCACAGCCCACACCCATATTAACTCTTCACACATCACAGGCATACTCACTGGGTCCTCACACACCCCACACCCATACCATCTCCTCACA